ATAAAATGTAAAAAATTTCAGTTAATAAAAATTATTATTAAAAAAACGACAACGACAGATTTGATTAATGAACTTAAATTTTTCAATAATAATTATCTTTGTAAACTGCTAGAAGTCAATAAAATACCCTACATTATAACATATTAATAAAAATTTATATTATAAGTTAATTTATATAAGTATTCAGTTAAAATATGTCTTAAAATGTTATATACTTTATTTCTTCCTTCTTTTTATAAACAAGCCTTGAAAAGTACATAAAAGATGATTAAAAAATGATTAAAAAACTGCCAAACTTAAAAGTTTTTGGCCACCTTAATTTAATCTTCTCTTTACGTGAAAATAAAAAGAAAGAGTGCTCCTTTTTACACCTGTCATGGATATGCTGACCTTTTTTTCCTTAAATATTTACTTAAGATATAGATAAGCTAATTAAGTAATAAACAAGCGGAAGATTTTAAATAAAGTCCATATATAATTTTATAATATTGCCGCTGTAGGAAGTGCATATTGTATAATCACACACCGGCGCCGACACGGTTAGGTAACACAAGGTACTAACCATAAGAATTCCGATTACTGCGGAAATGATGTCACGCTCAAAGTTGACTCCTGTTATGGAGGAACCGCAGCATAGAAAGAAGTGATATCTTTCCTAGCTTCAAGGGTGCTCAGTTTAGCTAACTTAATCGTTAAGGGAATTGCTCGCTCTTGAAATGACTTTATAATAAAATCTCTTTCCTTGTTGGATTGCTGCGTTGAGTATTAGTATTGTCTTCCGGAGACGCTCCTTTAGTGAAAATCAAGGGATGATCAGTAGTAGTTAACTTGAGCACTATATAAATAGTTAACGAAAACTGCTAAGTTAATATAAGACAGTCCTGTTATGTGAATAGCAAAGACGAAAGCAAAAAGAATGATTAATATATTGATGAGTAATGTTTACTGTATCTTGTTCCTTTGTATCCGAAGGATGCATGTTTTCATCTTACCTTATTGGTTAAGCATGTAGTATAGTACTAGCACTAGTACACTAGTATCTTTAGCATACGTCGCGGTTTTTGGCTCATAACTGGGCTTCGATTCGTGCTATTGGTACTATTGTATTAGTACTAGTACTATATATATTAACGCACCGCTCCCGCACACTGCCAATAAGCGCGCTCCAAGCCGACATAAATCCATTCGGGTTTAAAGGAGCATAAAGGTTACAGCCCTTTAAATGTTCCTACCCCAATACTAGCTTACAAAAATAAAAATTGTTTATAAACAAATGAAATAATATATTTTCAAGTGACCTGCCCACCATACACATAAAAGTGGGAGCGACTAAGTTCATTATTTGTGGTTTTTCGGGCATAAAAGAATTAATAGCTAGCATCAAAGCTGTTAGAGAGTAGAAATAATCCTAACTGCTAGTGCGTAAGCAGCCACTCCAGTACGTATTACTGTAGTGAGTTAATATAAAAAAAAATTAATACCAGAGTTAGAAATAATATGGCAGGTTGAGTTAAATAGAAAACAGAAAAGAGACAGAGACAAAATAACACAGCAGAACTTGGACTATTAAGCATTATGTTATGAGGTCTTTTAATAGAATCAGCCGAAAAATTTTCACCTTTTATCCATGTTCTTTACTATATTTTTAATTGACAACCTTCAAATCTTAAAAATAACACATCTTATTGATGTACCAAGTTACTAAAAATAAACCAAAAACAGCTTGCTTTAAGGTTTTACTTTTACTTTAATATGTGGGGCAACTGACTTAATTTTTTTTTTTTATAAACACTAGTATGTGTAGACAAAGGCCATGGCTGAAGTAGAAAGTAAAGTTATTGGCCACCAATATATGCCAGAAGATTACTTCGGAATATAAAGTATTTTTGGTTGGCGAGTTCGTTAGTTTTGGTTTAATAATTGTCTACACGTGCTAATCATGTAGTTTCGGTGCAATAGTAGTTTACTGAGACTTTCCTATGTAGTATTCTTTATAAAGTAGCTCTAATGAAGTAACTGAGTTACACTGAACCTATAGGGATTAAAAAATATTCCATAACATCGATTAGCTATATCTTGATGCGTGGTATGCAATTGCCTTATGGTATGATTACCTTAGTGAGTTAATTACAATCTCGGTTACCGCAATTTTATATTTAGAAAAGTAATATATATTTAGCACACTCGTTGGGGGTTTATAATCGTTGGGGCAGTGACCTCTTAAAAAAACTCATGTTTTTATAGCGCCACGATTTAATTTGTAAGAATTACCCGCCTTGTAAAGCTTAAAGTTAATAATTTATAAAAAAATGAAAATACTATAATACTAATAAAAAAATAATTTTTATGATCTAAATAGACGAGATAATCAAGTTTCAAGATTACTAACGTTCTAAAATGACCGCCAGGGGGGCTAAAAAAGTTCGTTTTTAACCAATAAAAATAATTGTAAGTTATGGTTGTTGCAGCAATTTTTTTTTAATATAAAGCCATACGGCATCAATGTTTAATAAATGCAGAACTATAAAATATTAAAGGGAGCTTCTCAGTAACCCTATTCTAGGAGGCTCGTCGTCTTGCATATGAAGTTATTCTGTTTCTTCTCTTGGTTCACTCTTTTTAAACACAGAGTTTGTTATTATCAAGTTTTAATTATATGTTTTTCCCTCGGGTGCCTTTTTAAATTTTCTAATTTCTTTAGCTTCAAAACTTTATGTTATTAAAAGTAAGTAAAACCACTTAATCCTTAAAATGCTGGTTAGTGATCGTATATGCGAACGCATGCGTTAGTTTTAAGAGGGCTTGGAGTGGTAGTGATTGTGCCGTGCGTAAAAACAGCAGTAGGCCCTGTGCAACCCCTTGCATAGGAACACCGACGTCTAAAATTGTTTATTAATAAAAATTGTTAATTTCACAGGCTGTAAGCATTCGAGAACTTGTATATAATAGACAGAAAAGTAATATAGTACAAGAAAGTCGAAGTACTAGAAAGCACTATAATTTTTTTTTGATAATTATAGATCCCAGAGACACCAAACCCAACGCACAACAAACAATGGATACGAAAAATAAACTGCCGCAGGTGTGCATGCCAAACTTATATAACCACATGTGCTCTTCTCTCGAATACAACCCTCATACTGTAAACAAATTAAACATTTTGAGTTGTTAATTTAACAAGATGTAATAACCATATAAACAAATATTAGGCAGTATTTCCAAATAACAAAGCACAAATCAAAATTACTAAATTTAGTTATAGTTCGGACAAGCCCATTGACTGAAAAATACAAAATGATTGGTTCAGATTTCCCGAGGTGATGAAGAAAGAACCTTTGTTCAATATGTGTTGTTTTTAATTTGCTTCTGTCAAATGAAGGCTATATCGATTTTTTTCTTTTTAAATTTATTAAGATGCATATAAACTTTGTTTGAACTCTAGTAAATTTATGTAAGCATATATTAGTTCTGACTACAAATCCTTAATTATAGTTAGTACTTGAAAACCATTACAGGAAAATACCCACTTTAATGGTGTTAGGTTCATAAAAGAAAATAATGAATAGGCGTTATAACAAAAACTGATATGATTTTAACATAATAAAAACACTTTTATAATATACATCAAATTATCTATAGTAGGCTTGAAAGAAAAATAATTAGCGCGCATACTGCTCCTTTAGGGTTAACGAACACAATATTACAAAACTTATTAATAGAACCAAAACTAAAAGCATTATAGTTACTCAAATATCCCAAACGCCCCTCTTCAAGCATTCCGCATATATGCGACTTCATTTAGCGTATAAAAGGTACTTGTGGCCAGTCAGTATCATGGATAATTTAAGAAAACATGAAAGTCGGTAGGATTTATATTGGCTTAATTTTGTTTGCTTGGAGCTCCGCTTTTTCTAGAATACGTGTATACTGAGTGCCGGTTGACCATTTACACTATTTATTTTTACATCACCGGAATTAAATTAAATTAGTAAGTTTTGAAGCAAGTTTACTATTTAAAACATCTTGACAAATTTATAAAAACGCAGTAAGGTTAACTTTTGAGATGTTGCATATAGTTAGTTTATATATACGTCTTTACATAACTTCGTATGCCCTCAAGTTGTTCTTGGATACGGGTTAAAGCTTTTCAGTAAGATGGTGTACCTCTTTTAAATAACATCCCAACTATAAACGCTACGGTTCAACTTTAGAACTGAGCGCAGAGAGAGCCAAAGCTAACAATATATAAAACTAATATTAGGTATTGAGGGGAGCAATAATTACTGAGATAAAAAAAGTAACTCAAAAATAACTTGTTCTAGTTGCAGAAAAAGGAATGTTAAATAGTAAAGACTAAATTTCAATCTGCAGTCAATTGGGTTTAAGCAAAGGTTAGTTTAATCCATTTATTATTTAAAAAATTAAGAATAAAGTCATTCTTAACGATAAGCTTAGCAACTATATTGAGTACAATCCTTCCAAAATGGATGACATGAAGTCAAAAAGATTTTTATCAGCTACGCTTAAGATTTCTAGTTTTAAGAAGTTTATATTCTAAACCTAACTTAGTAGGTATTGACTGCCTACACGTACCGTAGCCGTTTAGGTTAAAGGTCAAAAAATTAGTTTATTAGTATAATAACTTAAAGTGCTCTACGCTTCCGTAGGCTTACGTTGAATCTACAGTAAAATCTACTTTTTAATATTATATTTCTTCAATATTTACAATAAACGACTTTTTATAATAATTTGTAGTAATATAATATCATAAGGTACGTGTTAATGACTAAACCTTGCCACATATTATAAATTGAGCCATCTAAATACTTACCAATAAGTATAAAAAGCTAACAAACTACTAAATAAAATTAAATAAAAATGTTAACTTAGGTTTAATCTTTTTGTTTAATTAAATTTATAAGGGTCGATAATTTTTTCAGATTTATTAAACTTTGATATTTATATTCCTATACACAAAGTAATAAGGCCAGAAGAAAAAAAATAAAACAATATTCAAGAGCTTCTTGAAAAAGATCGCGATCTTGAGCGGCTTCTCGAGTCTTTCAAGCGAGTTCGGGATGAAGATCTTGAAGATGATCGTCGACGGGAAGTATATTTATGGTCTTTACATTTCACGGGGGAGCGCGATCTTGACTGGGAATCAGATTTTGGATTCCCATGTAAACCCTGTGGGTGATTTTCCTTTAGAAAATCAGTAGTGGATTTGGTATTCATATTTCCAGTATCCATCCCTCCTTCTAATGGATCAGCAATACGAGCAGTGGCTATTAATCCAATTATTAACAGAACACAACTAAAGAAAAAAAAAGCAACTATTTCTTTTTCTTTTCTTTTTACGACCAAATTCGTCGTATTCGCCTTCTTCAACAATAACTTCTTTATACTCGAGACCTTCTCTATCGTTAAACCCACCACCGACTCCTAACAAAATAGCAATAAATCTAAAAATTAACTATTGAGTAGTACTATAAACTATACTATGAAACCTGAACGATCTTCGACGGCTTTAAACTTTTGAACCCCACAAATGTTACAAGCTAACCGGCGAGCAAAGTTTATGTTCCCACAACTAAACAACTCTTTTTTTAAGAACAGTAGAATAAACGAAGAATATATAAAATTACGCAGAGCAAGCCCAGTCTTTAGCGCTAAACAATCCGTTAGAAAATTCAGCTGCCTTCTCTCCTAATTCACGACCCATAATTTTTACCTTTTTTTCCTCTAACACTGGTTTTGCGGATTTACATTTATTACAAACTTTTCTGAACTTAAAATTAATATTTCCGCACCTTAGAATTATAATTAATGTAGAAAAGAATAAGCAAAGTAAATTATAATATAAAAATAAAATTTTATATATAATGTTTAAATAAAACTTATGATTCAAGTTTTAGAAGGAGTTACAAAAGCACAATTTTATATAAAAACTTTCTTAAACGAATCTTACTGTACACATTCCCAGTCACCTGGATTTGTAGGTGGTCCACTTTTTGGCATTTTATTTTAATTTGATTGTGCAAAGGTGGCAAATATAGTATAGTAGGTTAAAACGAGTTATAAAAAGAAAAGTAAATGAGGTGGCAATAAACAAAAAAAACGCCTTGAGAGGAACCTAAACGTGTAAAAAAAAATTACCTCTCAGCCCTCACGAAAACTACGACTTCCTATGCCACAAGTGTTTGGGATCGGTCTTCTTCGCTCTGGTATTAGGCTACCAGAGCATTTATGCATGTCTGGCGTTTTTAAAGACTTATTTATTAAATAAGATCTTAAAATTTTAATATTTTTAATATTTCTTGAGCTTTCTGAAGCAATTAAGGCTTTTTTCGTTGTAAAAATGTTATTATCACCGGGAGTATATATCTGATCATCCATACGTCTTCCGGTAGACTAATCTAAGACCTACTTTGTCAAAAATTCCATTGAGTACTCCCCTTGCAATTTTTGGATGCTACACGACCTAAGACTTACTGCACTTACTATAAAAATTTGCATTTTCTTTAATAACTATGGTATACTTTTTTTTTCTCTAATTTTTATCAGAAAACTAAATATCATTTTATTTTTTACTTCGTGTACATGTTTTCAAAGGTTAAGACCTAAACTTATTGACTAAATTCTATATTATTTCCATTTTTTTTAATTCTTTTAACCCTTACTACTCTTGTAACTAGAGAAGTACAACCACAGATAACAACTCAATTCTAGGTATCCGAACTTACAATAGAAAGTGTACAGCCTCATAAAAACTCAGATCACTGCAGACGCAAGAAAAAAAGATAATTTACAGCTAAATAAAACGTTACGTTACCGAATTTGAACTCTCTACATCTAAACATACCTTCTTTTGAAACCAAAAGCCCTTTGAAGTGGATTATTTCTTTATAAAAAAATAAAATTAATATTGACATATTAAGAAGAACAAACCTCGTTTAAGTCCTGTTAACAGTATTCTTGACAATATTGCTAACACAACGAAATTTTCGCATCGAAAGGTTCCCTTTCACTCTTAAAAGACAAAAGCAAATAGGTTACCTACCATGTTACTTCTAAAATGGCCTAATGACACAAAGTTTTTCCTTCCTTTTCAATCGAATATAGAAGAACTACCACACTTTGGAGAAAACTAGTATGACTACTTTAATAATTGTTCAAAGAAAAACAACGTAGAGCGGTTTTAAATAGAGTATATTGCATAATTAATATACTCTATCTATTGAAAAATCTTTTCCGAATTTCAAACCCTTTAAATATAGTTAGAGAGCGCAGTTTAATATTAGTAGGCAAGTACTATCACTAATCCTTATGAAACTTCCAAGATTTGAGACCTCCATAAAATTATCATTTATTTGCAGTTTTGAAAAAAAGTCAGACACAATTCTAAACACTGCATCTCTACACTAAACACTTTAAATGCGGGGAGGTCAACTAGATCTTAATTTGCTTGAATAATGGCGGATCTACACCCAATATTCGCTGGTTATCAAAACTAACGCACCGCCAGTAACATTTCCAAATTAATATTATCAAGACACTTTTGATGCACCTGCCTTAAATCTCCGATCTCATACCCGAAGGCCTCCTACATCTTTAATCTCAACTAAAGCTTAAAAATTTTTTTTTTTATCATTTTGACTGCCACAATTACAGAGAAGTTATTGCATTTTACAAAAAAAATATCTCAAAACTAACTATCGTCTTTCAGTAACACTTTTTAAATTAAGGAACATAGTTTTTTTTAATTGCAGATTTACTCTATAAAAAAAAAAGAAAATTGCAGAGCTATTTACGAGAAAATAATCGATATTACCCTTGTTCTGAAACACATCATAGGTAGGGATACGTTAAAGTAATAAGCTTAATTGGTTATCAAAATGATAGCTTTTATAGAAGTGGCGGAGATTGCCTAATATGTAAAAAATTATTTTAAACGTGCTCTTATATTAAAGCTATTTGTAACAAAAGAAATTTTTTTAAAAACCATGTTTCTTTAAGAAAGAACCTTACTTTTTTTCTCTCAGTAACCCCCATACAAAAAAAAATAAAAATTTAATAACGAACAAATACCCTTTCGCCATTCACATTCTATACGAGCAACAATCCTCTCCCAGTTAACCCTCATATGGTCCTTTAACCCAATTATATGTTTATTCATTTGTGGTTAGAATCGCCCATTTTACCATGCAGGTACCTGCAGCTTATCTAGACGCGATTGCTAGCTGGTGTCGTCTCATTGAGATTCTTTTATAAGGATGTAAAGAGTGGAGAGCTTCCTATTATAAAGACGCATTGTGCTCCCCATGTCGTTGGCAAGGAAATTTTCTGGTTCTTTCGGTGGTGTATTTTAAGGTCATTATAGATTCTTCGCTGTTCGTGGCGTACTCAAGGGTTTACTTGGTAGTAAAGGTCAAAGCAGCAAACCAGTCGCTATATCGTCTATTGTCCAGCAAAAGTAAGCTTTCTTTGTGCGATTAGGAAAGCGCAGCATGTGGTGTGCAGTTGACTAATCATAACGTCTGAGCCTACAACTACACGACAATACATCCTCGCTTTAAGATAGTAAACAGCTGCGCTTTCAATAAAAGCACCGTGATATGTTCACAATGATATACTAAACCTCGAATTACAGGTTGTGTCACTAGCTTTTAAGGTACGAATAGCTGACCACGCTACTCGTTTTTTAACATAAAAGACCGTCCTCAAGGTGCAACTCTAAGTAAAATTAGTAGCAGTGGAAGTAGAGTATTTTACCACTCATGACTAGGCAAAGACAAGCCATAATTTTATCTTTTTCCAAGGCTTAACTTTGTGCTTTAAGTTAAACTAAAGCCACCTTGCCGAATATATACATTAAAGCAACTTAAAATTCGTCGATGAACGGGTGGCCCAAACAGTATGAGACGGAAAAGCTAGCTCACTTTTACGCCTTGTGTCTAAGTATCCCAAGTTTGGTTAATATGAGCCCAAGTCGTAATTTTAGCTCTCTTTATGGCGCTTTAATAGCTTTTGTAGCATCCAGATTCAAATTTTTGTAGGTGCTTTTACCACAACGACCGGAGACCCTCCTATTTTTTTTCTCGTAGGACATTAATATAACAGCGCCCACTCCAATTCCAAATCCAGCGATCCAGCTCACACTTTTATCTTAATATTATTTTCCTTTATTGTCTTTCTAAATCCTCACTTCGTGTAGTTTCAGACGATCTAATAAGAGTTTTTAAATTATATATTATAAAAAGAGGTTAGGTATAGAACTCTATTAAATTGCTTTACACGCTGCTTGCGCGCACGCTCATATAAACATTATTAATGATGTCATTGGTTTTCAAATGGTATGTACCTTGAAAAATCCACTTTTTAGAGCTTTTTACAATTTCTTTAAGGCACACAGGATGCGTTCTCCCCTTTAAGCCCCTTTAGATAAACTTCAGACTTATATAGACCTTTACCTGGCCTTCAATCCTCATTTCTTCAACTTAAAATTTACTTATTTGACATCGCTTACTTTACCATTTCCATAAACTTTTGGTTCACACTTTTCATATCTTAATAAGGCACCTTTTTTCTTAGCTCTTATATATATAAATTTTTTAGGTATATCATTATGTAGTCAAACTTTTTTAGGTCCTTCCTTCCTTAGAGAACATCATTTTATCTTGTAGGTTATAAACTACATTCAAAATTATAGCTGCCTTCCAATTATTGATTATTGGTTCTACTATGCCTACAATACATTTAATTACAAACTTCCTGGCACAAATATAATTTACATAATTCTATATTATTATTTGGGATAAATGTATATTATAATTTTAAAAAAAAGGGCCGGTGGTTATGGGCTAGGACTATCAACTGTTTTATATAAAGGGCAATAGCTAACGGCTACAGTGTTATCTCCGTCCGTAGAGCATAATTACAACAACGAGCCCGATGTCTGCGACGAATTATCGTTACTAGCCTATCAGATAAATTATATGACAAGGCCTTAATTTTTCTTAAACAGGTAGCACCATCAACGATAATTGACCCATTATGCACATTAAAAATAATTTGTCGTGGCACGCGGACATCTAGATACGTAATAACTATCATTTTTTCAAAATGATAACGAAAAAAGAAATATTTAACTCAAGTACTGTTCAATTCTAATTACACTTACAGACCTTTGTTAACGGAGTCTTTCACAAGAAAGTCACTTTTAGTATGGACATGAAAGCTCCATCAGGGAAATGTAAGCTCGCCCTAAAGATTTGCCAATAACTTGTTTACATTTAGTTAAACCTATGGCCAATAACCCAAAGTCCATCTTTATGTATATGTGAACATATATATATATATATATCTTGAACTCATTGAGTAAACAATATGTAATTTGTGTAAGATTATCATAAAAGGTTAACTTTGCCTTCTTCTGAAGGCTATTTACCAATTCTTTTTTTCCAAGGTAATATGAACTAAGTATCAAAAAGGACGTATATTTTCGACTATAGAGGCCAATTTCTTAAATAAACAATATATATATAAACAAGCTTTATTTATGCCAGCTTCAGTTAGCTTGCGAGCTCGTTCTTACCTGGAAAAGTTTAGCAAAACAGTTATCTCAATGAAAATTTGTGTATATGCTTTAATATTTTTCTCAAGGTACGAACTTTTTATATTTTGCATATATAAAATAGACATAAGATTTATACCAGAAACAAAACAGTCCTCTTATTTAGTGCTTAAAAAGGGGATTATTACTTTTTAAGTGCTGCTAAGATACGCCTCGTACACCGGTTGTTTTTTTATTTCTATTTATTGAAGAGCAAAACGCCAGATATATGCATACGGTTCCTCGCACATGTCAACTCTTTCTATCAAATATTGTGATTTTGTGCTCCTCAGTCGTTTTTAAACTTATTATATAAGTTGTTACCGTGTCTGAAGTCTTTTAATAAATCATAACCAGTAACTTGATACCTTTACATAAATTTACTAGATGTCAATAGGGAGTGATTCGGAAGCAAATTATAAAAACTGAATAAACTGGAGGCGTATGAATTTTTAATTAATAAACATGATACCTAAACGGACAGGATGCCGAAAAGAGGTAAATTAGTTTATATTCTCACTTACAGTACCTAAGATGTTTTCTCTTTAGAAGTTAGGCATCCCAAAAACTTCTGCAGAAAAAAAACAACGCAAAATAGCTTCTCTTAACAACTGGTGTATCCTATAATTGTCGCTGCTTTGGAAGGAAATACGTACAATTCTTCTGGAAGGTGATATTAACGGCAAAATTATTTTTTGCTAGCTTCAATAGAATTGAAAGGCGGATTCAAAAAACTCAATGACTCTACACTTCTCGGCCACGCACTATAATGAAGCATTTAGTAGGTCTTAGTTATCTTTTAGTCGATAACATAACTTTTAAATAAATATAAACTAACCCTAAAAATTCACTAAGCTAACTGACATAAAAAAGTAAGGACTACTTTATTCTCTATCTCTATCGCTTATACAAATATATTTTTGAAATATGGAAACAAATAAAACATGTGGAAAAAAATTCTTGGTTACAAAACTGTTTCAAAAAGTTTTCGTTACTGTACTCCTGCTAATTAATGTCCAAGTATTATAATAAATGTAATTATTAAAAGTTTCTGCAGATATATATTAAAGTCTCTCACTTAAAATCCCGGCTAGGCACCATATTTAAGTTAGGTCTACATTTTAATAAAACTTGAAGCGAAAAATTTAAGATTTCAATAATAGTGGTCTTAATATAAAAATTTGTTTTTGTTGTCAAATAAAGGCTTTTCACAACTATAAGGATAAATGATTAAGTTAAATAAACATGTTTCTTTATTAAGTATGAAAATTGCGATCGCATAAATTTAATATTAACAGTAAGATTATAAAATAAATAAAAGAAATTAACTTATACGTTAGCAGAATATACTACTAAGTATAAATACTAAGGTAATTGCTAACGAACTTCCGAAATAATCATCGTTTTGATTAGGTAAAGCTTTCTCCTTAACTTTGCCGACAAATTGTGTCGCGGTAGTTCCTATAGCATCAGCGCCTTCGGAAATCTTACTGATACTTTGCAGATCTAAAGATTAAGTAGAAATTAATATAGCTAACCAAGCAATAAGTTAAAACGAAGCAATCATTGTTTTGATTAGTTAAAACATTCTGCACAAAATTCGCTGACACCTTCTTTCGCATTTTTTTTAAAAGCATCAAGGTCATCTGACATAAAATTTAAAGATTGCGGATCTAAAAATTAAATAGAAATTAATATAGCTAAGCAAGCTCTAAGTTAAAACGAAGTAATCATTGTTTTGATTAGGTAAAAATTTCTGCACAAAATTCGCTGACACCTTTCGCATTTTTTTTAAGAGCATCAAGGCCAAGAGCATCAAGGCCATTTGGAAAAATATCTAAAGGTTGCAGATTTAAAAATTAAGTAGAAATTAATATAGCTATAACTTATACGTTAGCAGAATATACTACTAAGTATAAATACTAAGGTAATTGCTAACGAACTTCCGAAATAATCATCGTTTTGATTAGGTAAAGCTTTCTCCTTAACTTTGTCGACAAATTGTGTCGCGGTAGTTCCTATAGCATCAGCGCCTTCTGAAATCTTACTGATACTTCGCAGATCTAAAGATTAAGTAGAAATTAATATAGCTAACCAAGCAATAAGTTAAAACGAAGAAATCATTGTTTTGATTAGTTAAAACATTCTGCACAAAATTCGCTGACACCTTCTTTCGCAATTTTTTTAAAAGCATCAAGGTCATCTGACATAAAATCTAAAGGTTGCAGATCTAAAAATTAAGTAGAAATTAATATAGCTAAGCAAGCTCTAAGTTAAATATAGGAAAGACCAGCCAAACTGGGAATCAATACTAATAAAAGCACCGCCGACCGACAGAGAAAAGTAAAATTCCTAAATGATATAAATTAAAAAATAAATAGGTTTCTTTCCCCTCCAAAACAAACCACATTTTAAATAGTCGCGAGAAAATCACCCGCTCTACCACCAATGCCAGCTCAATGAAGCCAAGCAGTAAGCAAAAATTATAGAACTAAAAAATTTTTAAAAATCGACTGCACATGGGCACCCAGGTCAGTTGCCCACTGAATGCCAGAGGTAAAATGAGACAACGCCAAAGGCATTCTTGCTTTTAAAAAAAAATTGACCAAAAAAATAAAAACATTGTCTTATAAAAATGTTATTATTCATTTATCCGTACTTAGGGAAGTTTCGAAATAGGAAATAAATATAATATGAATTAGTAAAATAAAATCAGGTAAATAAAATAAATAAAAATCACAAAAATAAAATGAACTAAAAATTCCTTTATTTTAAAAAGTGCTATTATATAGAACAATTAACGACTTCAAGATCACGTATATAAGAGAAGAGAGCTAGTTAATTTTCTTCTCGCTGCGCGAGGACAGAACCATCTTAATAAATCTATTTTTCTAAAAGCATCAGCTTTTTAATGCACCTTATTAACAAACCTTTTCTTATGACCATATTTAGCGGTTTTGAGGTCGCCAATACATATTGCTAAAAGCAAGTAATGTAAGCATTGAATAAAATTTAATTATTCTGGACATGTGACTTGTTTGTACTTTTACTTTTAAACGATTTTTTTCGACCTACGATATATATAAAAAAAGGTTTGCTTTTAAATACTGATAAGGTAAAAGTTTTTTACTGCCACAACTACATCATCCACCAAAAAAAACAAAATTTTCCGCATTACCGTTTATTTAGAACTTTCTCTTCAAAGTACGAAATTTTAATTTAACACTGGATATTAAACCTTTTAGTTTATTAAAGTCCCAGGGCTCGAGGGAAGTTTCTTACACGCTAATAATATTATACCGTTAAATTATTTTGTTATTACGTGGATTATTTCTTTGACCCAATTGAAATGGCACTTAAAACTGTAAAATGAATGACTTGATGATTGGTTAGAGTTAATATTCTGCATTGAATTCCTTTTTCTTTAAAGCCCTGTCTATATATAATATAGACTAAGTCATCCTTGCGACTATGAGTTGAATATAATATTAATTTTATTAAATAATAAACAATATTATTTTTGCAAATAAAAAAAAAATGACTTGCATCTTAATGCAATTCCACCAGCATAAAAGTTGTATAGGCCCTCTCCCCTAATTGTTTGCCAGACTATGTGCTGGAATTTAAAGCAGCCTTTATAAATTGAGTTATTTTTAGGATCTTAAAATGATAAAGATTTTTTGATGATAAAAAAGCGCTTAAAAGCTACAAAAACGTTATTAGTAAAAGAATAATTAGAAAAAAGAAACAAAATACATAATTTGTTATATAAACAAAAATATAATAAAGGGCTCCTCCCTTATGGTTGAGGAGCTCATACTCCAGGAGGCCTGACTAGCAGTGGTGCTGGCGGGTGTCTTCAGGTAATCTGGTATCTTGTGCCTAAGGGTACCTTTCCAGTGATGGTTTTAAGCGGTTTTCCCCACTTTAGGCCGAATGGTGAGAATCCCCCCAATATCTTCTGCTTTTTCAGTCCTTGGATACAGTCATTATAGCTCACTAAGAGCGTACACTGGCGGGCCAGCGTGCCTGTCCCATGCCCTGCGGAAGAGGGTAATTCAGATTAACCAACTTAAGTTCTGAAGAAGACAGCCGTAGTATGCCGGTGTTAATATATATAGATATATAATAAAAGAGTACCAAATAAGCTCAAAAAAAATGCAAAAACTAAGAAAACAAAAGGACTAAAAACACAAGCGAGAATCATATATAGAAAGACACAATACGCGCTTCACTGTAAAAATATATGAGGCAAGGGGCTTAGTTATTATAGTTTTTGGAAATTTGTAGAGATGCTCGGTATAATCAAGTGCAGGTTGCTTAGTTTTTTTTCGCTAATAACTCAGTGTAATGTGTAGTTTGTATTCAGTTTTCGCAAGTCCTCTAATCCTTCTATAGATACATATACATTTTGTATGAGAAGGTTTACAATAAGTGTGCGCTTAAAGAGCATCGCGGAGCTGTCAGGAGCGTGCGTTTATCTAGGGTTCGTGTTTAAAATATCTGGTAAAACTAGTTAACATAGTGCTTAATTTGTTGTCCTCTAGAATAAGTTATTTATTAATCTCGTTTAAAATGCTCTCTAGCCCTCTAGACTAAAACTATACCTTTACAATATTGCTGGTCCTCTATACTAACGTAAAACTACAACAACAAAGCTACGCTCAACACCGAAAAAGAACGAGCAGAGTACAAAAAATGAATGAACCATGTTTTTTTTTATTTATAAAATGGCATGCTACATTAGAGGTCGCAAAACCCTTAATTGCTTAATCTATCTTCCTTTCGTATTGTAGGGCGATGGTTTTTATAACCAACAAGAAAAAAACAAGACAAAACAAAACAAAAAAAACTCGCGGGGGTATCCCTATGAACAGTAAGAAAGTTTACTTAACGACCCGTGCATTATATACTGACAGGGCTTCTGGATATTTTACAAGCTCTTAACTATTACATGTTTCGGGCTGTTTGTATTTAGGATACCGACTGGGATCGTACTTGAACGTTTCCAATAGCAATTTATTGATGCGTTAGCTGTAAGCATTGAAGATGGTTGTGCGCGGCTTATTGTAAGGGCACCTATAGGTTCCAGTTGACAGTCTCGATGTAGCTAACTTTTGCTCAAAAACCAAGGAGTATTGAGTCATTTGAAAGCACCTACTTTGAAATAATTGTACCCTTTTAAGATTTTCCGCGAAGAATAAGCCCAAGCTATAGAGGTATACTGTAACACTGGACGTATACAAGCCGTGTAGAGGAGAAGTTAGTTATGTAGTGAAAGTTATAAAATATATCATACCTTCAATGCAAATTATATAGCTACCCTCAAATATTAAATTTTCAAGTTAGTGCTGTAAAGTAATTAAATTCTAAACAGTTCGTGTGCAATTTTTCGAACAGCTAGTGGTTTGAATGCCTACAAACTTAGAAACATTAGTTGCTTTTCGGAATAAGTAATAAGTAATATAAACGTCCTTACTCAGGCCGTCCTACAAAGTGTTATTGCATACAAAATACAATTCGCCGGTCATAAGTCGCAGAAGTGCAATTCTCAATGCTTATTCGTACGTCCAAGCAATAAATACGTAAGTACAAACACTGTGTCAAGGAACAGTTTATAACGTACAGAAATTATCCTTTTGCACACAGCCGCGGTCAAGTGCGTGGTTGCTGCCAAGTTCCTCGGTTATCAATTATGATGCCCAAGTATTTGATCTGAAAAAGCCCCACAGGATCATCGTCGGGAGGGAGTGCATACATTTAAAATGAATATTGCCCTGCTTTTCTCTGCATTAATGATTACTCGTCACTGCTGCATCGGTTGGCAAGTGTTTCCAAGTAGCTTGGTATTGCCGTATTTATGAGAGGTTTTTTAAGGTGTTCTGTCATCGGCGTAAAGGGTGAAACCAGAGAACGTTGCGAAATGCCAGTTGTCAGTAAACGGTTGATAACAGCGCAAAAATATTACTCAAAAAGTTCGCCCGCATATAAATGCAAGCATGTTACCGAGGCTTAATGAAGGGCCTAATACGCGTAGTTAATGTAACAGGCCCTCCTGCCTCACTCGGTTATAAACCTTTTTACGTGAAAGACGACCAGGTGATAAATTATAATTGAAGTTCCAAGTTGTCCACTCAACAAAGCGCAACAGTTATTGCGTCGTGGAGAGACATCTTCGAAATCTAGTGTAATTCTGGAAGCGGTTTGTGTTTCGCTAAAGTCTTTCAGCTGGTTTTCTAGAACAGCCTTTACGGTTTTTCCCACTACTGAAAGTAGGCTGATAGTTCGATATTTGTTGGATGGCGTCACTATAGTATATATTTTCCATCGTGTTCGAAACGAACCAAATGACATTGCAGAAACTGGAAAATGGAAAGAGATGGCAAAACTTTTTAAGCATCCCATTAGTACTGCCATCGGGACCAGTTGAAAGCTTCCTACTAGCCGATTTAAGGTCAGAAGTAAAACATGCGTACTGATAAAGTAAGCACTGTATTTTACGATGAAAAAAATTTTCGTTACAACTGTCTCCGAGTAGGAACGACATATTGTTTATGAAGTTAAATGCATACTAATAATGATGTGTTGTTAAATGAAAGCATTATAAATATAATTTAGGAAACTTGATGACTACCACATGAAAAAAGTAAATTTAAGAAAAAGAAGAGACTGATAAACACAAGTAAAATACAAGTTGTAAGAAGGGTGTTACAAGTTAGTTACTCCTTTCTATACACACTAATTTTATGAATTAAACAATTCAAAAAGAGAAGTAATGTCAAAAACTAGCCTCTTATTTTGTTACCTTTATTTTAAGCAATGCTAGTGTTAAAACTTGTTTATTTTAAGACGATGTACGCGTAGTCCCGAACGTTCTCAAACCCATAATTAATTAAATCATTGTTTAATACTCTTCAAGATATAAACAAATTGTTTTAAAACAAGTTGTCTTTTTTTCGCACAAAATTTTTTGTAGGACATACATAAGCTTTTTTGGGACTAGAATGGTAATTAACTATTTTAAAGTTTGACCTGACAAAGGTAAGCTCTTTTGAATTACTCAAAAAAGCAGTGTTCATTTTTAACTATAATACTTACAAAAACAACTAAGCAAGGCACTGTTTAATCCCTAAACTATTCAAATATGTACAACAATAACACTAATATAACATTTTTTTCAAAATTAATTTAAACAATTTTTACTCAGACCAGTGGGCTTGTGCAATACGCCCTTTCTCCACGTGCGCATTACTGTTAACCATGATTAAGTTGGTTGTTTTTAATTAGTTTATACCAAATATAATTTTCTCCTTTTTCTAGAATTTTTATTATTGAAAGCGTGACTGGTTTCCTTCCTTGTTATTAAAAGATTTTTAGAAGTCAGTTATCTTAGCTTTGCACGGCGAATTAACATGCCGGGCGTTAGTTATGAAGTTTCTGCTGAACTCCTTGGAGGTCTTTTCATATTTATATAAATTTTTTATTGGTTTGAATGTTTATTTTAATTTAATAATTATTTTTATGCTTACACCATTTATGAATTTAAAAGCTTAGTAATTTTTTTAACACACGGCTACTTCAAACTTTTATTATAGGTAAAATGCACGGTGGCTTAGCTCGTGCTGGAAAAGTGAGGAAGGTTACCCCGAAAGTCCCCAAACAGGAGCGTTTAAAAAAAAAGTTGACTGGTCGTGCTAAGAGGAGAATGCAATACAATAAGCGCTTCGCTCCTTCTTCTAAGGGCTTTGGCAGGAAAAGATCACCTAATTCTAATCAATAAAGTTTATATTTATCAATAATTACACTTAAATTTATTGATTGTGAGATTTCTAATTCATAACTCATAATAAATATTATTTTTATTATTTCTGCTTGTAGACTTGACTTATATAAATTATTAAAAGAGTTAGTATCTATACAACTTTAGGAGATGACTTTTGGCTCACCAGTTGATTTTTTTAACACGTTAACTTTTCTTACTGCCTTTGATCCTTTTTTTAAAAAAAGCATCCCTTAATTGGCAATTATTTATTTCGTTTAAAGTTTGGTCATAGACAAGAGAAAGGAAACACATACATTAATATATATATTTTTTACAAATAGGGTGTTTTAGAAAAGGTAAAAGAAGGTGCTGCTTGAGCAATAATGAAACCTTATATATTAAGCTCACCTTATGCACTAGAGCCATTTTAGAAGTCAAGCACAATATAAATTTACTCAATCGTTGGAAGGCTAGTTACAATGTTTCCTGCCTTTCGAAGAATTTGTGGGAAGTAACTTGAGAATCATACTAAAAAAGTTCAGGAATATTTGTGTCTTTAGGTTATACATTTGTTTACGGTGCAAAAAAAGGTATCAGACGAAAGGTTGGATTTTATTGCATAGAAGTTATACAAAGGGCCTTTTTTGCGTATATATTAACTAAACAGAGGATAGCGTCTTAAACGTTATTTACGAGAAACAATGAAAAAAGAGGTCATGTACTATTGACTTATTAATATACTACGATAAATAAATATATACTCCGTAAAAAAAGATATTCAGCTTATTATTCCTATCACTAGTGCCCGGCCTTCAGGAAACATTAATCGATAGGAACTTATTACTCACGTCCTAATTGCAGCATTCTTAATGATGCCTTAGCAAACGCTATTGCAATCGAAATTTAGTTGCCTGCACTGATTGTTAAGACTATTATTATAGTAACAATTCTTGTAGGTAGCCAAGTTGTCCTCAATATCGACACGCCTATAGAGGGCCGCTCCTTATGTCGAACAAGTACTAAAGCATGAAAGCTATAGGTTTCAATATGTGCATTTTACTAGAAACTTAGCTTATAATTTTTTTTTTACTAGTATACTATCCTCACAGAGTCAAAGTGATTCAGTAAATCTTATATTTTAGGCTTCTATTTGAAAGAAACCATATACAGCACGAGTTTGCAAGAAGAAGAGAAATAAGAATGCAAACTTTGCTTTGAAATACTAACTGACTGATACAATATTACTTTAAAAACATAAGAGCTATATTCACTTAAGTTATTAAAAAGATTACGAATAAATGTTATTGGACTAAAAGTTGTCTTATTTAATTTTTTCTAAAATCAAAAACTTTAATAATGTAAAGTGAAATTTATATTTTAAATTTTTGTAAACGGTAGATTCGTAATATTTATATTAATTTAAAAATCTTTGAAATAAATAAACTCCTATAATTTAAAGAAATTAAAAATTATATGAAATAAATGTCCTAGAAGTTTCTTAAATTTATTTCATTCTAAAAGCTAAAAATATAAAAAATCTAATCTAAAATTATAAAAATTAGTAAATACAAAACCTATTATTATGAAATTTAAAACTTTTAATAGTAAAATTAGAAATTTTAAGAGTGAACTTATAAAACTTAATAATAAATAAAGCCATTTAACTGGTTTATAACTAATTTTGATAAAAACATACTTTTTATTACTATATAATGTTTATAGAATTATTTTTAAAGGAACATCGTTAAAAACTACCTTACCAAATTCATTGAAAAAACCTTTAAGCCTATAAAATTTGATTGGAAAGTGACCAATTTGTTAACTTTATTTATAAATTTAATATAAACAAATAAATTTATAAGTTTTGACTTTAAGCTTTAAAAATAATTAAAAATTTTCAAGATCTTTAAAAAATTTATAAAATATAACGAACTATAAATTAAAACTTTCTAAAGTTAAAAGTGATTCGCCTTTTGTGAACATCTCGTCTTTTTCCAAACTAATTGGCTCAACTTCAGATTCCAGAAGATTTCCAAAATCTTTTATTCTTTTTTCGAAACTGGTCTCGGCAAGAGCTGCTAACTTAGCGGGCATGTGCGCCCTAAAAAAAAGTAACAAAAAACCAATCATTTATTAACAAATTTTATACTTTTTAAACTTTTAGATGAAGAATCACCAAAAAATTTATTAAATAGAAAAAATTTCGTTCAAAAATTCAAATTAATAAATTTTAAAATAAAAATTAGTATATATTTTTAGTTATTAAAGATTTTTTACTAAATCCATTAAACTGATATATTTTAACGAGATTAGCACTTATACTTTTGCTTGATCAAAAATAATATAATAAAATTGAAAGCTACTTTCATCATTTTAACTAACGAAGTTAAAATAAAATTAATACCCAGCGCTCGCGTTAATTTAAGCTAAAAAAGTACTTTGAAACTAATATTGGTGCCACGTTCGTTTTACATAGTAAAATATGTTTTGACACTGTATTAGTAAAGTAAGTTTCATGGAATGTTAGGTTAAAAACCATCATATAAACTAAAATACAACACTCTTTGAGCCCAGGCAAAAGAGAATTCAAATGTGCGAGTTATATAATATATATAAAAAATAACTGAATAATTTATAGCACATCATGCAACAGTTTTCTTTTTAATGTGATACTATCTAACAGTTTTTAGTGAATATATATAAAATAATTCCTCAGTAATTTAGACAAAGCTAGAAACTAATATACGATTGTTAAAAAGAAAACTTCGTGAGTACAAAGTAAGGCCCTAACTCGCTTCTTGTACTGCTGCTTGAATCATTTAACGAACCAGAATACCAGCTAAAGAGCGAAAAGAAGCTATAATAAACAATAGCATTAGAACAGAAACCATTTGACAGGCAGAGCGCAATATATACGTTTATTGCTTTCGAAAACCTGTGAAAAGAACATAACCTTTCTAAATTTAAGTAGAGTAAACCTAAATTATTACTGCTTAATAGCGGTGTTACGATGTGTCGTGCTTTTTATATATGTCTATTGTAGTTACCCCACGAATCTTTCTTACTAGGTGATTTATTTCTTATCTACCGCGTACAAAGTGTGTTCAAGCTGCATAGTTGCATGAGTGAAGTCTCATAGCGCATCGTAAGCGGAGGTGACGCTTTCTTTTTCGTCGCTTACCCCTTTACATAAGCAGCGGCTGCTGCTCTCAGAAAGTAATTTTCGAGGTGTGTTACTCATCACAAGGGGTGCCTTGGCAAATAGGTCACTAGGGAGAGTTTTATCCTACTGCTAGAGCAGGGTCTCAAAAAGTGGTAACTATAATATTTTGCCTAAAAAAAGTTAGACACTTATATTGCCTATATAAGGAAATTTAAATTTGCCTTTGACTATCATATTTAAAGTTACTTTAAACTTTTCGCAGGTAAAATAAACAGTATGCTCCCAAATTTAGTCTAATAGTCTAACCTAAACCTTTCAAATTATTTCTTTGTGAGCGGTTTATTTCGGCAACTTTATCTTTTCACCCAGCAGTTAATATTTTCTCTTTTTGGTATAGCAGATTGAAAAGCGAACTTTTAGAAAGGTTACGAGGAAGACAGAGGTAAGAACGGCGTTTATTTTTTTCAAGCACTGTTATCACTGTTGCTAGTATGATCCACTTGCGCAATTAAATAAAGTAGACCCCCGCAACCGAGGAGTAGTCTTTTTTGTAATTTTAACTGGTAGATCTAATCTAATTAGAAAATATTAAAACTATATATATTTATTTAGTCCTTGATAAACAGCAAGGGGAGGACTCCTCTCTTCTGGGCCAGGGTTGTAGTCGGGGGGGCTCGGCTGGCAGTAATGCTGGCCGTTCTCTCGAGGTGGCCTCTGGCTTTGTGCCTAAGGCCCCGCCTCTCTGGATGGTAGTTTTTAGCGGTTTTCCACAGCGCTAGACCGTGTGAAGGCGTCCGGGCCGGATTTTTTCTGCTTTTCCGGTCCTTCAGCACAGTCCTTATAGCTCTATAAAGAGTATACACTAGTGGGTACTCACGCTCTAACCCTTGCAGAAGAAGGGGAATTATAGTAAGCTGCTCAAAGTCTCCCATGAAGCCCGGCAGTAGTAAGCTAATAAGTATAAATAAACAGATAGATCAACTATATCGGGAAGAGTATATGTAATAAAAACTAAGTAAGCATTATATCGATAAGCCAAAAACTTTGTAAAGGTCAGTCGAATCTTTTTCGGTTGAAGTTGAAACTTACTACTATCTCCTATAGTAGTGATTTTAAGTACCTCTGAGTTTATATAACAAATAAGCAGTTACAAATTTTGTTCTAGAGATCTTGCTGTAATATGCGAAAGTTATAAATAGATAAAAATATATGCCTCTATGGGTTTCTAATTGTAAAGCTTTTTTTTAAGGAAAGGAACAATCGACTTGGACCAATATAACATATTTTGTTTGTGGTTTTCGCAAGTTTTTTTTTTTAGATTCGCCTTGCCAAGAGTGGAGTTCGTTGCCGTTGCTTAAATCTATTTTAGATACACGCGGGTGTGAGAGGTGAAAAGGTGAAGTGGTGTTGTTGTTGATTAATTTGGTTTCAGTATCCTATAATATCCTTTTAATAAACTACACTACAGCTCTACTATTTCTTAATGAAAATTGGTACTTAGCACTTTTAATATTATTCTAAAGTCTTATAATGCCAGAAACCCATTTAACCAGTACATTGTCAAGCAATAAGTAACTTGCTCTTTCGCCAATTTTCTCTCTATATCTTGCCAAGCCCAGTTAATAACAAAGCATTACCTTCTCTCTGAACTTAACTGCTATACTTTACGATGTAGAAGTTATAGTTTGATAAAATTTAAGTAGTACTCTCGTACGCTTAAACTACAACTTGCCGAAGTTAATTTTTTCAAACTGAAGGGCGAAGTAATTAGATTTAAAATAACTATAAATCCTTAATATTTATAAAATAACTTATAAAATAACTAACATATCTTACAGTAATGACCAAGATTATAGGCAGTTGAGTTATCTAAAGCTTTGTATATCTGTTCAAAAACTTACGGGAGCAATTGTTATCTGAAGATAATAAAATTGTTCAAAATCAAATATTAAAGTCCTACTTAGTGTCCACGCAAGGCGCTCGTGGTAATAGTACAAGCGAGAGGCACCGCTATAATTACTCTTTTAGATATATACATAATAGATTTTAAGCTTAATATAAGTCATATATATAAACTTGATTTAGTTATTATAGTACTAAAAATAAAATTATTAGAAGCAAAAATTAATAATATATTAAAAATTTTTAAAGTCATAACCAAAGTAATCGTAATAATTTAAAGAAAATAAGGAATCAAATATTATAGTAGTAAATGTATTTATGGGTGAAATAATTAAATAAATAAAAATACCGCAAGATAGTTAAAAATTTACGAATCTATACACATATACACATATATATGTGAAAAAGTTAATACACACAAGAAGTATAGATTACTAATAGTAAGAAGACAATGTAAACAATAAAATAAAAAATTGAAAAAAAAATTTGTAATTAAAATGGTGATACATATAGTTATATTAACAATACAAACAATGAAACAAAAATTGCAATTTAAAATAATTCTTGAAAAAGATAAAAAATATTAATATAAATTATATAATATATATATGAAGCTAAATTATAAAACAATTACTAATACTATTTAAAAAACGTTCTATAGGGAAAATATTAACGTTATCATTAGAGGAAATAATTATAGTAATAAATTAATATATTCAAAAATAATATATAAAATTTTTTTTTAAGTGCTTGCAATAAAAAATATTATAAGAATATATTAAAATATTACAATGAAGTTGTTATTAGGGGTTATGAATGTGTTATTAACGAAAATAATAGAGCTCATAACTACAAGTATTTAATAAATGATTAAAACATAACTAGTACTTCAATACAAAAAACAAAATGGCAAATAGTAAATATAAGTTTTTTATAATTTTAATAAAAAAGTAGTCGTGATATAAAAAGGTTATTAATAGCAGTAATAAGAATAATAATATAATTACATACTGAGTTCTACACTCCCCCTTACCAGCTAAATGGCTATTGCTACTTAATAAGTCTAGTTTTATAATTAAATAATTTTTATTTGTAAGAAATGCGCTTGTTAAGGAATTATATTCTTGTTGATTATGAATATACTAGTAAGATAAATTCATAAGGGTGGAATATACATCTTTCACTACAGTGGAAAAAAATATACCTTATTTAAGCTTCAAATAACATAAGTACAGGCAATCTTATAGGATGTCATTAAATCACCCAGACAGTTTATATTATAAATAACTACTTTGATCAAACTTTGGAATAAGACTTTTCGAAAGATTTTTACTTGTTTATTGTAGCCTTGAATCGCTTAGTTTATATATGATGAAGCGCCTAACCATAAATGTAATATAGAGAGGCACAAAATTTTCTGAAGTGCAAAAAACTGCTAATATGAATGCTGATTACTTATATACGCTCTTTAGCAAAAGCCTTAGAATAGGCCGTCCAACTGCTACCTTAGCTTTTTTTTACCGCTTTAGTAAAACTGCTAACTAATCATTCTCTATTTAATAAATGTTGAGTAGAGAGCAATAATTATTTTTATGTTTAAAAGAGCTATACCTCGAAAAAATGGCGGTATACCGGCAAAAGGTGGAAGAACAAGCTTAAAAAAAAAGTTTTTCCTGAAGCCAAAAGTAGTGAAGTTATTGTAAATAATTATTATTAAAAGTAAGTATTACAAGGTTTACTTCCGGGGAGATCGTACCGTTTTTTGAAGTTTAATGAACAATCACAATAAAGGCTTAATAAGCTTACTTGTTTCTTAGCAATTATTACTTTCAGCAGTAGTAATAATAACTATACACTATAAAAAATATTGGGAGGGTTATTCAAAGCAAATCTTGAATATAATATATTTCTTTTTAAAGTCAGTATTTTTGTAAGAAAAAATTATTTATTATAAGGTTTTCTTTTTTAGCACTGGCGTACTGTGGTTTTCTTGAGACCTTAAGCCGCTTAATCTGAATTCCCCTCTTCTGCAGGGATTGAAACACCAGTGCCCACTAGTGTACGCTCTCTAGAGAGCAAATGACTATCCCGAAGGACTGAGAAAGCGGTCATTCGGTCTAGTGTTGGGGGATACCGCTAAAAAACACCACTGGGAGAGGCTGTCTTAGGCACAAAACCCAAGGGGCCTGGGGAAACCGATCAGCACCACTGCCAGTCAGGTCTTCCCTGTTATGAGCTCCCCGCCCGGAAGGAGGAGCCCTTGCGTAGTAAACTTTATAAACCACTCATCTATTTTAGTTAAAAAATAAGCAAATAAAACTACCACAGCAAAAAATTGCACGCTATATTTATCTCTCTACCGTATAATAAGGGATCGAGTTGTAAAATTGTTAGGTTTGAGGTCGTCCAACACTAATAGTTTTATACACCGCAATTAAGTTAAAAAATAACTTTGTGACTGTGTTGCATTAAATTTCTTAGCTCTCTTTTCCAGTTTGCTTCCTACTCCAGAAACGTGTAAATTTCTTAAATATAATATTATAGCTTTACGACTGCGTACTAGCGTAGAAAAGGGACGACGGGAATATCGTTCATTTTGTAGCTCTGACTTTTTTTTTTATAGTAATTTATAACCGCTTTCTAACTCTAATTAGTGGCAAGGATACAAATATGACCGCCACATTTATTTCTGTTAGTTTGTTTATTTTATCTTCTTAAATATACCTATAGTGTAACAAGGTTAGAAAACGAACTTTGTAAGTATTTGATTTTTTAACTAATTTTTTTTTGTTAGAAATTTTACTTGCCTACCAATCTGTACTTTCAGAAGTGCGTAAACTTATTGATGCTAGAAAAATTTTGCAGATGAAATCCGTCGGGGTACTAACCTGTTTTTGACGATATTTTATTGCACCGCAACTCAGAAATGTAGAAGAATAAGTAGCCTTTTATTTACTTTCATTTATATAAACATAAGTTTACCAATCTAAGCGATATTGCTAGCGGTGGAACGCGGACATATCTGGTTGGTCTCTTCCTGCGGGGAGAGGTGGTGTATATAGATATATAAATTTTTTTTATCACCGCTGGGGGTGGAGACTGCTTTTTTGTAAAAGTGGGACGAAAGAGAGAGAGACAGCAGAAAGGGAGAAGAAAATGAGGAAATATTATCTCTCTTCTTTAATTTTAAGTTTGGTTGTTTCCTTAGTATTGGTTAGGCGGATATATATATATTACTAGTTACTAGGGCTATATAGTAACTACACTAAATGAACAGCACAGTTACACAACGGCAGATCCAAGGCTTTGAATGAGAGTGCAAGAAAATACCGAAGGCCCCGGAAACAGGCAATAAACCTAGTAGTCATCACTCATTACGTAGCTCTTGCTAAGAACGCTTTCGGTGGAACCTAATTGCTGCTTCATAGTAGTGTACATAACCTAGCATGTTTTACCAAGCTTTCACATAAGGTTTCACACGCTCTTTCTAGGCAATCATGATGGACCGTTCGAAATGGGGATGCTAGTACTCCACGCGGAGCTTTGAAGCGTCAAAGATTCTTCTAATACAATAAAAGTCCACAAATGAATGAAATAAGTTTAGTCAGCATGTAATTAGGTATTTTCGCGAACATGCTTATATCATCCAAAGTTACAAGGGATTTAGCACCTGCTTCTAGACTAAAATTACTTGTTTAGAAACATTGAAAGGGCGCTAAGGTTTGCATTTAGAGGTAACAATGATATTTCACGGAGGTGGACAGTCAGTAAATGCTTAGATAATGAAAACAATTTGAAAAATATTATTAGCAAATCTAATGGTTTGGTTTGGTTTTTACGATTTCATTAACTTCCCTTTAGTTCAGAGTACCAGAGAAAAACCTCAGGAAATCTCACCAAAGAAAAAGTCGTAATGCTTTATAAGTGCTAAAGTTTTGCGTTTAATAAATATTTCATTGTTTTTTAACATTTCGGTGCCTTACGCCTAAGGAACTATTCTTCACCGTGAAAGCTTTTTATAACTACATTAGAACCAAATAAAATTAGAACTATTTCTTTTACACCTATTTTTAGTTTCCACAGTAGCTTTAACTTAAGATAGAAAATTTACGAAAATAAATGGTCCTTAAAACATTTTCTCCTTGACTCCTGCTGCTATTCTTTTAATAAATATTACCTATTAACAATTTTAAAGCCGTTCTTTAAAAAAATTAAGGTGACATTATTTCTCAGTCGTTATAGCAAAGTTTTCTTCCCAAAATAATAGATTACTTTAAAAACATTAGGTAATCCACTCATGAAATTCTTTCTTAGTCAGCTTTTTTAATAGTGGAGTTGGGTCTCCAAATTACCAAGTAAATTACGCGGGACTGGAATGAAACAAAGGTCTCGACTTTTATATGTAATTCTGTCATAAAAGGTTGTGTCTGCTTATTTATATAAGATAACATTTATTTTGTTGTACATTTCTTAATAAAGAAACTACTAACTGAAATCCACTATCCTCGCTCACATTTAGTAAACAATCCTATCA